AATAACTTGAGGAAGTATGTTTGTTCTCTTTTTGGGATTAGTGCATAAATATGTCGACACATTAATTTTTTACTTATATAGATGAACTTTAGCCTTGTACTTGCATTTGACCATCTTCTTGAGACACATTCATTTTAACTAAACTACGAGAACTAGAGCCTAAGAATCACTTTTTTTGTTAAAGGCCACTTAAGCCTAAGAATCAAGATCGAAGTAGGTAATGACTAGTTTAAGTTTGAAATCATCGAAAATTATTATTTCATTAACCCTATGATGATTGACAAGCTTAAAGTACAAGGGCTAGCGAATTAAAATAAATATATGGAAGATTGCAACGTAGTTGTGAGAACGAGTAATTTATTGAATTCTTATTTTTCATAACTTCTTATTCAAGGGCAATATGCGTTGTAAAACCATTGGTGATTGACGATGAATAAATGAATTCAAGGGTAGTATATACGTCGAATGTACATATGTGGTAAATTTAATAGAGTCATAGTGAGTCAGGCTCAAAAAGTGGCTATATTGGCCTTTTTGTTTTCTTTTACTTGTCCCATTAGATCGATTTTCATTTTAATTGATGGTTGAATAATGTTAAGAGAGACATTTATGCCAATAGGACTGGTCATTATTCACTAGTACATCACTGTTCTTCAAACATGTAAATGAACATATAATACAAACCTAAAGCCCTAGCTAAATTAAATACTCCTCTAATCCCCTTGTATTTGCCCCATTTTCAATGTGCACTACGATGGATGTATCGAAAAAAATTGTCTCACGTTAAAAAAGTAAAAATAATGTTTGTTTGGAATGTAGAAAATTATATTTGGGTTTGAATTATTGGAATTATTATTGTTGTTGTTGGAGTAATATAGAAGTTTACTTTTGTTTATTATTGTAGGTAATGTAAATAGAGAATAAACAAGAAGAAGAATTTGGACAAATTTGCTCATTTCTTCAAATGATCTTAAAAAGTGTTCATCTTCTGCAAATTTGCAAAAAATAGTGTTTCATATTACAAATTAAATATCATCAATAAAAAAATAAAAAAAAAACTATTAAAAAATCAAAAATTAGTATCTTTTTTTTATTTTTTTTTATTTAGCTATTAAATCACACAATATTAAAGATTAATAACAACAAAAAAGAAGAAAAAAAAAAAACTTAAAATCAAAGAGAAGGAAGTCATAAAAATAAATCAAAATTCAAACATAAAATGGAAAATTCTCAACATGCAAGATATGGTGAATGATATTTAAAAGTGAAAAGTGAAAAGTGAAAAAGAAAATGAGTCTTATATATTTTGGATAGTGAATTAAGAGAGTTTGAGTATGAATCTAGAGAGAAAATACGAATCTTATAATTTTTTTTTTTGAATAGTAAAAAAATCTATTAATAAAAAGTCACACGACATATACAAGAGAGATTCTTATAAATTAAATAAGAGAAAATAAGTATTATGAACTTAGAATAAAAGATGAGAGAAAAAAGGTCCTGTTAATGAATGTTCGTAAAATAATCAATAAATTATTCATTTAGTACTAATGCACATACAAAAAATTTCTTTTCTAAAAAATATGAGCACAAAATTTGCTTGTGCAAATGATGAGCAGAAAACAATTGCTCATTTTGTGTAAATGAGTAGAAATTCGCGCAAATAAGTAAAAATATGCCTTCGATTGTATGATACAACCGATTTCATGATAAAAATTACCTTTACTGTATACAACCCCTTTTTTTTTTTTTTGAAAGAATATGCAAACCTTATTTTTAAGTCTTTCTTCACCCTTTTTTTTTATTTTTTATTTTTTTTATTATTATTATTATATATATATATTTTTTAACCTTTTGTGTAGATAATACTCATTCCGTCTCAGAATAATTGACACTTTTCACTTTTTTTCTCTACTTTGACCAACCTTTTTTTTTTTGATATTATATGAAATAATATTTTTAATAAAACTTGATATTTCAATAATATATATTTAGGTAAATCCATAACAACTTATTTATTAACATTTTATTTTTTATAATATGAAAAAAAAGATGGTCAAAGTTAAGAAAAAAAATCAAGTGCGTCAATTATTATGAGACGGTGGGAATAATTGTGAGGAACATTTATGAAAGGTAATAATTTATCAATTACAAGTATGAGTACAATAATAGTATTTTATATTTATATATGTTGCAATTACTAAAAATGGAGAAAGCATGATGTCCCATTCCCATGCTAAACCAATTTAATTATAACAATATATGTTGGAGGACATGTTAAAAGCTGATTATTCTTACTAATGTGGATCAACAACTCAAAATTCTTCCTAAAACTATAAAATATATGGAGGGTACAAGTACAAAAGAAGTGTACCTAAAACCTAAAATGGCCGGCTACCTCAAAATTAGATAGGTATCTTTGCAGTAAGATTCCATTTGTTATTAGTAGATTCGATTTTATTAAGGCTAAAAATGATAAAAAAAAAAATAATTAAGAAAAGATGATCAAATTGGTAGTAATATAATTAAAAATAAGATTAGGAAGTGATCGATGATGCATGCTTGCAGAGTTAAAGTAGACACTAATTTGTCTAATTATAAATCAATTAGGCAAAATGTAGTGATTAACAGTAACTAATTAACCATGTTGCTTAAATTGTCAGTGCTAATTTTTGTCATAGTAGTAACATGCTTAAGTTAAGTGAATTTAAGGCCGAAAGCTAGCTAGATACTAAAGAATTTTTGAGCAGATTCCAAGTGGTTTGGAGAAGATTCTATTTGACTTAATTTTTATAAATTTAGTTTATTGCTATTTATGTCAATTTTTAATGGTATCATAGTATCATTATTACATGTGAAATCATAAGGTTGTGTTGCATTGTTGCAACTTGTAGTGTTATGTTTGCCGGAATCAGAAGCATGAAGTTTGTCGACATTTTAAATATTTCCTTTTTCGTATCAACCTCACTCTTTTGAACTACGGCGGATCTAGAAATTGAGCAATCCGGTCGAATATATGTCTTGAATTTGTTAGTCCTTTTGTAGTGATTGTCACAGGGGTCTTGTTGCCTATTAATGTAGCTAAATCATTTTTAGTGAACCACATATTTCTTTGGCTAACTTTTAGGTTACTAGTTTATGTTTATTCCACTATGTTTGGGTAACTAAATACTTTCCGATACTCACGCTTTCTAATGTATATAATTCTAATCATTAATATATACCTAAAAATATATAAGTTTAAAATAAGTTTATGAATGAAAGTATATATTGAGCCAGATTTAACAAAACCGTCATATGACTATTGATTTTTTAATGTCACCAATTTTAATGAACTTAGAGTGTATAAATAGTGTAAAATGCAAAACATTGTGGCTTAAAAGTTTATGGGTAAAAACTATAATTTAAATAAAATAATAAATAATATAATTTATTTATTAGAAAAAAATTTAATAGTCTATTGGTATGAATGTGGTTTAGAACTAATAATTTTAAATTTATTTATTATTATTATTTTTTTTAACAACAGCGGAATTTGTATTAAATTTAAAAATCAGAGTTTACAAATACCAAACAAAGATTAAAATTTATAACTACCGCCTTCGACTTTAAAACAACAACATAAACATAAGTATGGCTTTTAGCATTTAAGCCCTTACAACTCTTGACACTAAAAACATTAATACATAAAAGGAGTTGGAAGGACGAGTTGCAAACGAGGACATCCAAGAAGCAAATACAAACTTCATAATACAGAGAGAGTGATTGAGAGTATTGAAATTGTTTGATCATGGCTAGCTTTACCTTACTTGGCGGGATCAACTCACCACCAAGTAAGATCTTCAAATAGGTCACTTGCACAAATGACCTTTCAATCATAAGTTGTCCTTGTTGGCAAGACAACTTTGACAACGTCGAGGCTCGAGAAACCCGTAAACAAAGTTTGGACGCCTGCTTCAGATAACAATTTTCAAGAGTAATATTACAAACAAGGGAAAAGGAAGACACCAAATACCAATCCAACAAAACACACACATCCCAACCATGGCCAAATTCTTGTTTAGCCTCCCAACACAAACAGTATCACTTAACTCTCCCATTAGAACACAACTAAGACCCATAGCAAAGGATCCTAGCTTTCATTCTCTGCCAACACTGCCCCTCGAGACAAAACCCCAAACTTAGAGTATTCAAAAACCAAATGAAGCTAAAATAAACCATAAGCAAACTTAAGAAGGCAAGCAAACTCTGATTAAAACCAAGACAAAAGAAACTTAGGTGAGAAGAACAAACCAGAGGTAGAGCGAGCACCGGTCAATACCCAAAACCCGAAACCTAAAAGCAAAGAACTCCGAAACCCTAACCCTAACTTCATCGTTTCCGTCATTACCCACTCTTGACGGCGGCGTCAAGCCTAGCCTTCCAACACAAGGACCCACGAAAATTACCAATGACCTTTTGACAGCGGCGTTAGGCCTAGTCCTTAAACCTTGTTTCGCCGGAGAAATCCTTTGAACATACTTTAACTCTTTAAGTAAGTAGAACTTCTTAGAGAAATGTACTCAGTACTTTTAACATTAAACCAATCAAGCACTAATGATCCATAAGGTAAGTTGTCATAAATCGTGAGAATGATAATGAATTTGTGAATTGTGAGTAAATTTACGAAGAAATCCTAATTCGTGAGGCCAGGCATAGTAATGACAATTCATCCCCATTAGCTCAGTTTCTTAGATGTGGTATTGAGTGGTGTGTAACTCGTGAAGAAAATTACATGTCTGAGGTTGAAGTTCCATTACCATGGTAATAATAAATACTAGTATAAGTTTTCCTTACAAATTTACATACAAAATTACTACGTGTCTACGTATCATCATTCACGACTGATGACCACTTACCAAATGGGCAAGTATTATGCAAATGGTACTTTTATATTATTTAGTAATAGTCCGTAAAACTTTTTAGCCATAATACCCCTGAAAAAGAGTTGGTATAAAAGAAAGTCCAAAAAAACCAGTCATTGGATGGATTCATGATGAAAACGCGATATTATACAACCAATTTCAGATCACAATACTAAAGGAAAATTTATAGTTAGTCCAAGGGTATGCTGGGATTTGCCAAGAGCAGCACCTTAGATGTTTACAACCAATTGAATTACACTTCACTACCTTACACATCAATCAGATTGGTGATCGATGCAGTCAAGGAAATTGCAAATTTACGTTGTTTTTCATACGTACATTCTAGCAACACTTCACTCCCTACACCAAACAATCATATTGGTGATTGACGTTGTTAGTTCTGAGACCAAGTAGTTGAATCAGTGTTGCTTCTTCTCGTCGTAGATTGGTCTGAACTGCTGCTGTACAGGAATGCAGGGGGTTGAGGCATCGAAAGGGTTCCAGCAGCTGCAGCGTAAGAGTTGAGCATGTGGACTATAGTCGCCATCGTAGGCCTCTTGTTAATATCCTCTTGCACACATAGCAAACCCAGATGTATACATTTTATGACCTCAAGGTTTGAATATGAGTTTCCCAGCATGGAATCAAGAAGTCTTAAAGGTTCTCCGTCTAACCAACAACTCCAAGCCTGATAACATGCCATTAATCAATCATTTCATGATAATAGTTAATTAATTATGAATAGAGAACAATAGTTTACAACTTACGTAGCTCAAAAGCTTAAAGCTGCCTCCAGATTGATAGATGACATCGCTGACCTTTCTGCCAATTACTATCTCCAGAACTAGCACGCCAAAGCTGTATACATCTGATTTTATAGAGAACTGTCCATGAAGTAAATACTCTACAGCCATGTAACCACTGCAATTCACGATTAAAATTAAAGAAAAGTCAGTAAAATAAAAAAAATATGCCTTAGTCAAAAACATCACCATTCTGCTATTAAATTCTGATATTCTTTTTCAGGTTTAACATACTAAGTTCCAACAACTTTGCTTGTATCAATATGAGTTTGATCAAAGGCACAGATCCTCGCCATGCCAAAATCTGCAATTTTTGGGTTCATCTCTGTATCGAGCAACACGTTAGCAGCTTTTAGATCACGATGAAGAATTCGATCAGGAGAGTCTTCATGAAGATAAAGCATTCCTCGAGCAATGCCTTTTATTATGTTGTAACGAGTTGACCAGTTCAATTGTCCCCGTTTTTGAGAATCTGTAGTTTTTTTTTTTTTTTTTTTTTCATTTAAATCACATTAGCAAAAAGTTTTGAATCTAAATACTGCAGACATAACGCAATAATGCAGTAGCTATAATATCTACTTACCAAATAGAAAGTAGTCCAGACTTTTATTAGGCACGAATTCATACAGAAGTAACTTTTCACGATCTGTTAAGCAAAATCCAACCAGCCTCACCAGATTCCTATGTTGAAGTTTTGCTAACAATAAAACCTCATTCTTAAACTCTTTATCACCTTGATTAGAGGTTCTTGATAGCCTTTTGACTGCTATTTCTTGTCCGTCTGGTAAGCTCCCCTGAGCCATAAATAATTATTAGTTTCGAATCAGTTTCTAACAAGTAAATCAGTCAAACACCAATATATACCAAAGACAATGTCAAATGTTCTGATTATATGCAAATAGTTAATTTACCTTGTAAACAACACCAAATCCATCTCGGCCAATTACATGATCATCAGAGAAGTTGTTAGTGGCAGCCTGAAGAGTGGCCACATCATATTGCAAGGAGTCGGCTTTCATGATATAGTCTCCTGGCGATGGAGCCAAACCTAAAGGAGGCGGAGCGGAAGGAGTCAATTCATTTAGTATCACATAATCTTAAGTCATAACAAATAATAATATAACGATCAGCATTATGCTTCAATGTGCCTAAAGAGTTTGGAATAGCAGTATATATAGCACCTTTATTTGGATTCTCAGTAACAATTGTTACTGGAAGCGGACCAGGAGGCTGAGTCGGAAGAGCTACACTTGTTAAAACATTTTCATCAACTACGCCGCATTACTTGAGAAGATGCAAAATTTACTTAGTTCAGGACATTACCATATTGAGTATTATTTGCGACATTTTGTTCTGTTGTGTGCTTCCTTTTACCAAGATATAAACCAAATATAACACATGCCATTGTGATCACTGCTAATGGAGCAACAATGGCAGGAACTATTACTTCAAGCTTTACTGCATAGATCACACAAAAGCAAACTTCATAAAATGGATAAATAAGAGAGAAATAATTCATTGAAATAGTCCACTTTCTCTATGCATTTCATCATAATTACCTTTTTTGGCGGGTGACTCTGAATGTGGGAGATGAGTCTGTGATGGAGGTGAAGTAGCTGTGATATGGAAACCAAAATTGTCTTGCTGTAATCCTCACCATTGCAAATATTGACAAAATCTCAAATAAAATTGATCTCCGAGATCAACTAAGAGTTCCTTATGTAATCTACAAGCTAAGAGACTGTCCTAAGAATAAAGACATTTGTAAGTGTGATGAGTACAGAAATTGCAAATACCTCCTGTCGGTGTAGGCGGTGTAATGGAGGAAATGTCACTTGGCGGAGGCTGGGTCGATGTTGGTGGTGGCACTTGGACATCTATCACATGAATATAAAAGATAGAGGGAAATAAACAGGATTAATCTATGATGCTCCATATTATTATAGAACTAAATGTTAGTAAGAAAGTTCATGAATTATATACACACGTCAGATTGCACATAGCAAGGTATGGTCTAGCAGGGTACTTTGAGCTTTAGAGATCAAATCAAATTAGCAACGCCATAGGAGCCGATACTTCCCTCACTCCATAGAAGCCATAAGGAATTAGATCCAATATGGTCATTCACCATGTCCAAAAAACTTAAACAACATCTTGAAAAATCTAATGTCAATTATTCTAGATACAGATTATTTTTTATGTGATCCATTAGAGTATTAGCTAGGGAAAAGATGTTAAAGAAGCCACATAATTGACATATTTATAGAATTGAAACAACTGTTAAGCCATTAAGGTAATGAAGATACGAAAAATCAAAATATATTGAGATTTTAAATATATATGTACAAAGTTTATATACAAAAATTAGCTAATTTTTTTTTTTTTTTTTTTTTTTTTAAGTTCTTTGAAAGATAAAACTATTTGTCCTCTGTATGACCGTATCTATACAACGCACACCCAAGGAATTACGGATACCATTTAACATATAAGAACTTATGTAAAGGAGGGTATTATTACCTTGGCAAAAGGCATTGAGGGAAGCCACAGATTTAGCAATGCCACAGGCACCTAAAACAAGGGTAACATTAGGTGCAAAGGAGGGATTTTCAGTTATAAGAGTGTTTACATTTGCAAAAACATTGCTTCTCATTTACTGCACTTTGTTGGAGGAGATCACAGCAAATAAATTCAGTGATATTAAACGAAGGGCTGGATTCATCAAATTGCGGCTCTGTGCTATTCAAATTATTTGAGACGCATCGATCATATTTCTCCCAGCAAATCCCTGATTGTGATTGGACTATTGGAAGTGATAACCAAGTTATTCCAAGCATGATCACCAACACGCAAAGTTTGGCCATTATAAACCTCCTTTGATGATCCAAAACCAAGTATATTTCATGTTGATTGAGATTATAATGTAAATTGATGAATCTAACAGATAAAGGGTGGATATTATTGTAGGTTTGACTTGACCCCAGGATTATATGAAATAATTTGGTACTTAACAATTATATTTTGAAGAGTTCTCTAGTTTGAGTATTATATGAAATAATTTGGTACTTAAAAATTATAGTTTGAAGAGTTCTCTAGTTTGAGTATAATTAGTTATTAGATTGTGCCTATCAATTGCTAAGTCATGTTTCCAGGTTGTCAACATGCCATACCTGAATGAATTTTGTTGGCACATAGAGCCTGATGCCTGCCTCCGCTACGATCTTTCAAACACGTAAATTGAAGTCATGACTTGTAGTAATTCTTCAATTATGCTCAAATTAATGGTGGATCGGAGCTATACTCGTGAGTTGCTTCATTCTTTCTGTGGATAGACTTGATTGTACATTGGAAGAACTTCAGATATCATCCTCAGGTACAGCTTCCTGAATATTTTAGGAAGGATAATCACATCCTGCAGCAAAACCCAGCCACTGCACGCAACATTTGAGAATAACTTATGTCATCCAGACTGAAAGGCTAGATGCCATTGGTGTGGCAGAACTTCTAAGAGCTGACAATTATGGAACGAAGGGAGTAGCTACTAATGATTATACATCCTTAGGTAAATACACAATAAGGCAATCTTCCATCAAATTCCTATAATCAAAGTTTAAGTATCTTACAAAATGATGAAGCGGAGGATTGTGGTACTAACAAACTGGTGTTGCAACTAGCAGTACTGCATCTTTCATGCGAAACAATAGTTGATCAAACTTTCAAAGTTCATAACATTGTTTTCATCAAGAATATAACTTAGTCACATTTAGAATTATTTTTGTATAAAAATTTTGACAAGACATGCATTTATAGATGTTGCAAAATTGCTCCGTTCTGATTTTGTATGGTCTCTTCATCAATATTTATTTCTGTAGATGACTTAACCTTTACACCTTTACACAAAGTGATAAATACTTTGCATGGAGTTGTCATATGAGAAAACAATTTTACCGTTGGTGATCTTGGCATGCAATAACAAAGTAGACTTGTCTCTTCACTCTAACGTGGGCCCCATCAAAAAAAAAAAAAAAGGTACACAGCAAGCTCTACATGTCATCATGTGAAGCAAATTGTGCAAGACACAAACCAGTTTGTTTTAACAAACCTGTTCAACATTTTCTTCTTCTAGCAATAAGAGATTTATCCCGGGATTGGTGACTTTTTTCTTTCGCTATCTCCCATTCAATATCATCTCGCTCACTTTCCCTGTAAGAATCTCTTCCCCTCTCACAATCCCAGGACTTCTGTCTATCCCTGTTCCTGTCTCTTTCTCTATCCCTGTCCCTAACCCTGTCTTTCTTTCTATCCCTATCCCTATCTCCGTCCCTTTCTGTCTCCCTGTTTCGTTCTCCACTAGTTTCTGTTCTGAGTTCAGGCTTCGACTTGACCATGATGTCCTCTCTTCCTTCACCGTCATTTGCCGTGTCCTTGGACTCGTCATCGCTTCTCTTAGAATCTTTCATCTTGTCAACTTGTCAAGTGCCTGTTTTACAAGTGCGTCCCTGGATCCCCCAGTATCAACACTAGCTGCAGCACCTGAAGCCGTCTTTGTCACACCAGTATCAGCACTAGCCACTGGTGTATTCAGGGAACCTTCCTGGAATAATGCGGAAACTATCAGAAAAGGCATGGCAACTTAACTAGGCAAAACTATAATATAGTAATTAAAGTTAACAAACAAGAATATGATAGAGGCAATCAAATAAACATTGCTGGACCTCGTAGTAGGGCCAGTATGGTAAAATGACAGACAGGTGATGCTTACTTTGGGCACTGCAGTATTCTGTGAATCCCAAGACTTGTTGGATGATGTGAAGGAAACTGACTCCTTACGAACAGGTATATACTTGGCCTTTGGACGGCTATACAAATGAGCTAAAACTCTACAGACTTCATCTATACCAGATTTATCTGCATCGAAGACCTTCCACCATGGTGGATTCTCAGGAAGGGGGACTCCAAACCTTCTCGCAGCAGCATACACAACTCCACAAGCGACCACCTCACTTTTAAATCGAACACACAGTGTAGTCCGTAAACTGAGATAAGACATAAATGCAGAAATAAACTATGATATATATAGCGAAGAAGAACTCAGCTATCACAAAGAGTACCTAGTCAAACATATACAGTATACTTTTTAGTACACACATTATTAATTCAAAATAGTCCCAAATATATATATATAAAATAGAAATATCATAATAGGCTGCAGCCTGCGGAAGACAGATAGGCAGACAAGGAAATAGTCTGGTCAATCTGGTGAACATAGTCTAACTACAATAACTAGTGGCAGTAGGAGACTAGACGGAAATAGAACTAACGGCATTTTATGGCTGAAAGCCAGTAAGTACAAATAGCAATCACAATGGTGATTTTGTATTTGTTAATAAACGATGGCTTTAGCATGTGGTAGTAATCAATTTATTCATTTCCATTGGTTAATATTTGATGAGTTAAAATTTAACCATGACAGCCTAATAAAGCTCCATTCATGCTCAAGAATTTAGCAATCACCAGTCCTCAGCAGCTCAATACCTCATGACTCAACTACATATCATTCTTTGAAAATGTGTAAAGCATAATTGCAGAAGATGCTTAGCTGTGCCAACCTTTTACTTCTGATGACTGTTACAAAGAAACTACATATCTATGAGACTATGAATCTATGAGGCTTCTAGAAAAGATCTTTGGCAAACCCACAAGTAAATAAGGATATATAATAACCATACAATTTCACACAATCATGATAATTAAAAGTTAAACACGTGCATACGGACCAGGTAACTACAAACATAAACCCCAACAAAAACTCTATGGCACTTGATACAGAATAGGAATTCACCTAATTGAATGGCATATCATTACAATGCCAAACCAGCAAAGGCCAAAGGGGCATAGCACTATCCAAAATTGAATGAAGAAACAATAATTGCAAGAGATTAGGAGCTGCCTGAGACTCCTAACCTAAAATTTCTTCTGACTTTAAAAAAATAAACTATGAATCAATGTAAGCCTATGATATGAATGCATGAAACTTCAAGAAGATTATGATTTTAGGATAGAATTCAGGTATTCAAGGCAAAATAAAATACACACAAATTCACACACTCTAGTCAAAACATAAAGATCCAATAAGTGGCATCACAAGTCAACAAAAAACTATTATATTTACAGAGAACAAAAAGATACTTCGTATATGATATTAATTGATGTGAGATACCTATCATTTGCTAGATTCCAAGCATCTTGCCTTAACTCTGAAAGTTCTTTAAGTTCAAAGACAGCTAGGTAGTTTGATATGAATTTGTGCGGGTGCTCCACATGACAAATGAAACCCATTTCTTTCAGGAGGTGTCTTTCTGTTCTTATCAAATCCATCTTCAGCTCCGAATATTTCTGTTACAAAAGGGGGATGAAAAATAATGGTGAGTACAAAGTTTCGAACATAAAAAGACAAGATACTAATTTTCATACACGGGATAGATACACAAGTTAACTATATAGAAAAACATACAGCAATATTCTTAGTAACTAATATTTCAAATTGATAAGCAAAAAAAAAATGAGAGAAATACACAACTTGATACATACTTTAGACTAAAGATCCAAATGTTGGACAGGTGAATTTTCCCTTCGACATTCCATTCTATGGAAGACAATGAGGACTTGTCTGGCTTTCCTTGGACTCTCCTCAAGTTTTGATGCCAGCCAAACACAACTGGCAGCTACTCTCTGAAAATCAGTAAAATTAAGACGCAGCAACAGAATTAGTCCAGAAACCAGTAAGGAAATCACAGAATTCCAAGTCCAAACAAAATAAACAACAGAAGCAGAATATTAACCTTAACATTGAAGCGGGCAAACGACTTTTTGCAGTAAAATCGATGGAACAGAACCTGGGCAGTTGCCATAACGGCTTGAGGTCTAAGATTTCACAATTAAGGACAACAAACTCCATAATTTATTATGTAATGGCACAAACACTCTATAATCTATATCACCTCAAGCTATAGTGGACAAAAATCACAGAATATATACAAAACAACAACAACAACAAAGCCTTAGTCCCAAAATGATTTGGGGTCGGCTAACATGAATCGTCATAAGGAATCGTACCCATGTCCAACGCTAGGACACTTACTTACCCATGTCCGACAAGAGTACCCAAGTATGAGTAACATTAAATACATGGAGAAATAAAGTACCACAAGATAGAATGAATGTGAAGGATACAATCTAAGAAGGATGCCGCTCTCTTGGATCAAATCACAGCCATAAACGCGGAGAGTAATTTCGGTTTCCTCATCAATGGCATCTTTCCTTGAAGGCGAATTAGTTAGGTGCTCTTCCGTCAAGTAAAATGTGTCGATTGCCGTGTAAATCATCTTCCACCAATGCCCAACAAAGCTGTAACAATGGTAAATGTTGATTATATTCGACTCGCCACTTTATTACGAAATCTCATAGTAGTAAAAATAATCTAACAAGTACATTCAACACATACTAACAAAAGGGGTTACAAATAGAATTCTGCGAGAATGATTGAAGTATTGATGCCTTACTAATCATAGAAGAATAATTTTATAGTTGAATCCTAACATTAAAGGATTGTGCAATCAAAATTGATTCATAATTTTAGGGATATGTGATTCAATTATCAAATTTCTAGCAACACAATTGCTGGTTATAATCTTAGTATTTAGTTCAGATTTTCGACAATTAAATTAGATTAAACACTAGATTGTGAAATTGATATGAAAATTAATAAAAGAAACCAACAATGAACTTACCTCGAACAGATAAATTGTAATGGAGAACGTCAAGTGCGATGTTGAGTGCGCTTCAATGGAGAACTCTGAGAGAGAGAGTGGACCAAAAGGCGGGTCGGGCATTATCTAAACTCATACATCTCCATTTCCATCCTCCAATTAAACCTGAATTCGACTCGTTTTTCTTTTACAATCAATCATAAATATATAACGGATGCTTTCAAAATCTTTTTGAGATAAAATATGAGAATTGAGTCATTGACAACCCTTTATCCAAGGGGTTTAAAACCATATTTCTATTTCTATGATTCTTCACTAAATTTTTTTGTTTTCTCTCCATAATTGAGTACAATGGACATAAAAAGTCAATAAATCACATACTAGTTTATCTAACAAGAAACATAATGAATGTAATTTTTTTTCAAAAGTAAAAGGTTGGGCGCAAAAATGATAAGTCTTGACTCAACCCATCCAATTCAACATTTTAATATGACCCGCCCTTTCCTTTGTCTTTTAAAAATTGACCCACACCACCCCTCACTCAACCCATTGAACCTGTTTATTGACAATATTCATGAAATTAGTTTGTACTATTTATTATTATGTACTGTTTTTCAATCTATTGTAAATTTGCAATACTTGTCTTATTCATCGTTTTTCATTTGATCGAATCTCTTTGGACTTATACTTTAATCGGGTGGTGTAGATCTCGAGCACGCATAATGTTATGCGACGTAGATTTTGTTATTTTCTAACAAAAAATAAATACAAGTACGTAAAAGCTTTGACTTGTTACTATTAATACAGTACACTTGGCATGAAATCTATAAGGTTAACAAGCTATGGAAAGCAAGGACTTATTATTGCAACAGGGAGGTAAGCGCAAGAGAGAGATGATATATTCAACGGGTGACACTGAGTGTGGGGTGGGTCAAGTTGAACACTGATGGTGCTTCAAAAGGAAATCCTGGAGCTGCGGGAGTAGGTGGCATAATTAGAATTGTTTGAATGCTTTGCTCTTAAGTGTGACATTTGTTCCTGTACGAAAACGGAGCTAATGGCTGTGATGAAAGGTTGCTTGGGATGGAGGGCATAGAAAAATCCAACACTCAATCGACTGGAAGTTGTTGCTAGAATTTTGGTAGATGACATCCCTGCCAACTCCCCCTATATACATATCATACGCAAGTGCAAAGTCTTGATTTGTAGTAGAGATTGGGAAGTTATTTCACATTGTTTTCGAGAAGCTAATCATGCGGCCGATTGGCTTGCGAACTATGGTGTGAGTGCAACACAAAACTTCATCCTCTTTGAAGCGATCTCGAGGGATCTTCATGCCGATTTTATTGGAGGATTTGGGGGTGTTGCTTTGCTTCGTATGGTGCCTCAAAATAAATTTGCTTAGCTGTGCCCTTATGGAATCTTGTTAGCTCGCATTTTGGCTTGTGTTTTGTTGTCTTGTTTTCGTGTGTTTTAGTGTGTGTGTTGGTTTTCTTTGGGGGCCTTCTTTAGAGGCCTAGCCCCTCTCCTTCACCCACAAAAAAAGAAATATATATATATATATAATTGGTGCACATCTAAAATTATCAAACACTATCACACATAATACTTCCTACTCCGTATTTCCAAATCCCAATCACCGACCATCTTTTTCCCATAAGGTAAAAACTTCGACCAAAATTATAAAGTAACTTCATCCCTCCAATTTCATCAACCAACAATAGAACGAACAATATAAAAGAAACTTCATCACTCTAATTTCATCAACCAACAATAAAAGGAACTATATAAAAAAACAGGCAAATTGGCAACCCGCATTCGATTTTCCTACAATAAGACTTCTCAGTTCTCTTCACTTTGCATATGATCAAACAAGAATAATCTGAAGCAATTTGAAGGAAAAAGTTATACTAGTTGATACCATTACCCCATAATCCAAGTTTCGTTGATGAAAAGTCAATGGATCATCAGTAGACATTCAAATGATAGAAAAAGAAAATAACAGAGGATTCGGATCTGCACAAAAACTTCATGAAACGAATTAAGTAAAAAATTCCAGAGATTATCAAAATTGATTGAGGATGACGCTTGGAAAGAGCCTTAGAAATAGTACCATTGGAGTCATCCATGGAAACAGGTAGTTGGGCGATAAGAAGCGTACATACTAATGTATGGAACAAGTAAACAATATGCAGAAGCTGCTTTAGCTTTGATTTTATCCTCGTATTACTTCATGTCCAATGTTGCAGACGGCAAAGTTTGAAATCTCAGTCTATCAACTGTTAAGTCTGATAAGCCCTAAAATTTCACAGAGAACAAAACACGAATAATATTACACACTGAGGATTCTAACCCAAAACATAGCTTACTTTTACATCAGATACTTGAACAAGCTATCTACACTCAATAGAAAGCAACATGTTGTGCTCAGCAAAGCCAACAAGAAACTAGCACAGAAGATATGATACAACAATAAAATTAGTAAGAGATTCTGATCATTAAAAGATTGTTTGAAGCTCACCGTACATAGCTTACAACTAATCAACTATTGAGAAAAATGAATGGAAGATAAGCATATCAACGGGCTAGAAAATTAGCAGTTGTTCCACGCTTACAGAGTGTTCAAAGAAGTCTACCACCATTCGACGACTCGAATTCAAGAATATGACAGAATTTTTCAAAGGAATTTGTCAATAAAGAAACTGAATTTGCAAGATAAGGTGGATTTTGACCACTGTATTTTTCAGAAAATTTTGCTAGAACTGGATCATTTCATGAGAAAATAGCAGCAACTATCAATATGTGATGTAATCCAAGCATCACGTTTATTTATAAGCTAAACCACAAACTTATTCCCAGGCAGCAAACAGCACGAAATATAAGATATATAATATAGCTATCAGTACCTTTCTAGTAAGCTTCAGCTTTTTCACACATCTTCAATTCATCTTTGAAAGGAATGGAAGGTTAGGAACCAAGGCTTCAACAGGCACGACTGCCCGATATCTTTTAAATCAGTTTTGCATAGCTGTTTACACTTGAAACTTATAATTTGGTGTACAAGAGGCATACCCATCGAAAATTCAAGTACAGCATAGTAGTACAACCTGAAATGTGCTTGTCAAAGGAAAAGGCGCAAGGTAATGGTATCAACTCTTCATGGCCACAGATAGACAAAGGCAACAAATGTAATTACAAAACTAGAGCAACCTCCCCATGTGCCCTCCCTCCTAAGTGAACCCCGTTAATCATCATACTAATCATTGCTATTCTAGATTGTCCCAAAAGGAAGTCACTCTACCCAAACATAACAAAAAATCAACCAGTGCCTTTTCTACACCTCCTTTACTTAGACTCATTATCAATTTTCAAGCTATGCTATCTAACTCTGCTAGTATTGAACCATCCGGTGGAACCCATTAAGTTTTAAAATCAAACCTAAAGAAAACTTACTTTTGAGGATGAGAAGTCCATAAAGGCAACAAATTTAATCAAGTCATCTCAAGCCTTCAGGAGCCCCCAGAATGCATGCACTGGTAACCGACAGAAATTGCAGCTATACAAAGGCACGACTGGTAGAATATAGCCTATACAAATAATTTTAGCGACAATCTCATAGGCAACAAAATAACCCTAATTTCCCTTGGCCAGTAACTCAGGAAGCCCTCTAAATTCTTTTTAAATTTCGCTTCCTTGAAATGTCGTTTCCTTGCAGGAACTGAATCATAGCTACCATCATGGTGCCAAAGACAGTTCACCTTATTCAGTTAGTGGGTGAAGAACGATATGCTGAGCAACAATATGAAAAGTAAATTATCTGGAAAGAATTAAAGCCAATTTTTAACTCAAAACTATGAGAAGCAAATGCACAAAATTCACATTGATTGCAATGCTTATTCAAAAGTATTTTAATACATGGTACATGTATGAATTAGGATTCTCCATGGTAATCAAGCTCAAAGCAGTAAACAATGTGTGAAGACTAATTTCTTTTGATCAAACAAAATCTATAAAGATTGAAACAACAGCTAGATTAAAACAACAGGCCATAACTGTATAAAAATCATAAATCTGATCCAGCTAAAGCATGAAGGTGATGATCCGAGTTATTACCATCACATACCTGGTAAAAATTGTATGCTTCCCTCTCCTCGGTGTTTCCAGAGGAATCTACTGTAGTAGGGAAGTTCTTGCATCGTCAAATGAAAAAGATATGGACAAATTAGAATCTTCCGGTGATTCATCTAGCTTTAACTGCATATATTGATTATGATTCCCTTGATAATCATTTTCCTTCATCAAATGAGACCAATTTATACACATATATTTTTGTTTACCTGAGCTATCATGCACAGATTAAATAACTTTTTCTTTCTCGTTATTAGCAAGTCTTATCGATTTCATCAATTGGCTAGCCCAGAGTGAAGCTTACAACAGGCAATATGCCTTAAGAATTGATCAACCCTCCAATACCTTATCAGAGATATGTGGTCAATATCTGCAGAATCATTTTTTTAGCCTTGGAACCTCAGTAAGACGTGACATACCTGGTGTTTTCACCATATTCTTTCTACTGCAAAAGAATTCAGCTTCCAAGAAAAGAATTCAGCTTCCTAGAATCATTACTAAAGTGATAAACAGAATTGTTGATACAAACTACGGAGTAATTTTTATATTGTTACAGAGAAGAAATATTAGTCATTCTGATTTTTATGTTTCAATTCAGTCTCCGACTTCATACCAATAATTATATTAGCTCCACACTAAAACAACTGAACTCAAGCAAAGTAGAATATATAAACTCGAGATTGGTTCTTCAAACATGTTTCAATTCGACCCCCTGATTCATTGAAACAATACAGCACCATAATCTTAATCAACAGCATTCACAGCAACAATATAGAATAATACAAAAAATTAAAAGAAAATCGAAACAAATTCACACACAAATTCTTGCAGAAAATCCAAACAAAAATTTCATTTCAACTCTCAAGATCTTCCATTGAGTGTACATTTCTCCAACTACTTCAGATTAACAGTAAACGCAAACCAAATTCGATAAACAAAGTAAAAAATACACGAAAAATCGCAACGAAAACTCAACCAAATAACAATTAAAATACTAACAATAATAATAATAAAATAATAATAATAATAATCTACTTTCTAAGAAGATCATCAGAAACGACCTTAAGCTGCTTGCGTTGCTTAGATTTAGCAATCTTCTTGAGAGTTTTAGGGTTAGTAATTTTCTGAAATTTAGTACCAGATTTCAAAATATTCTCTTCTTTCTTCTTCTCTCTCTCCTCTTTCTGCTTCCTCTTCGCAATCTTATGCTGCCGAATCTCTTCCTTCAACTCATCCTTCCTCTCTTTGTACGCCTTCTTCAACTCTTTGTCTCTCTTCTTCTGCTCCAACGACACCGGCTTCCGACTAACCGCCATTGCCGACGACCGATGCTTCCTCGGCTGCTTCCAGTTCCGGCCGGAAACTCTGCCGGCGATAACTCCATCGTACGTCGGCCGACCAAATACTGGCTTGTTTGGATCGTCAGTGGATGAAATTGCGGCTCGTTTTGCTGGTGGATTCACGATTTGATTGTCGTTGTCGACCTCCATTGATGCATCAAATTGAGCTGTTTCGGAGGCGAGAGATTGAGATTCGCGCTTTCGTTTGGCGGTTTTGCCGCCGAAACCTTCGTCCAAGCATCGGAAATCGATTGTGCACGCCATTGATGAGTTTGGGGATTGATTGATGAAGAGAGGTTTGGAGAGAATTGGTGCCGCCTAAACCACTATTTAGGGTTTTAGAAGGTTGGACAGTGATTATGGCTGAGGTATTTATATGGATCTACCTCTTTTCGTAACCAAAGAATCAAGTGCCCAATGCCCGACCATTTTACTGTCTTAAAGACCGGTCTTGCCTAGCAAACCGGCAAAATCTAGCACAACACGACAACGTAACATAATTTGGGGTTAAGAGCAGCGTTAATGGTGAACATTTTAATAGTTCACAATGAGTGAACAAATAAGGTGGTGGCTTAATGGCAAACTCTATAATTGTTCATGATGAGTGGTCATGCGTTCGATTGCAGGAGCGAGCAGCTGGACGAAATAATTCGCTGTGGGCCCCACCAAAATTTTCCACTGATATTCATACAAAACGACGTCGTTTTGCTGTTTCATGTTGCAAAACGACGTCGTTTTGCTTATTAACGGGCAGAAAAAAAAAATAGAAAGTAGCGGTTGGGAGCGCGCCACTTGGCCCAGCCGCTGCTTGACACGTGTTCATTGTTTTAAATAAATCCGTTGTAATAATACAACGGATATATTTTATAAAATACAAATCAAAAAAAAAAAAAAAATTACCAACGGCTCTATTTTTTTCCCCTCTATAAATAGACACCCATATTGATATACTTTCTTCAACTTTGAAAATCCATTTCTTTCTACTATATTTTTCTCTTCAAAAATCCTCTCTATAATTACCAATATTATTATTATTTATACCAATATTAATATTATTATTGTTAATATTATTTTTAATTATTATCATTAATATTATTATTATCGTTACTATTTTTTTTATTATCGTTATTATTTTTAATATTATTATTATTATTATCGTTATTATTATTATTAATATTAAATTTTTATTTTTTCCAAATATAAATTATAATTATGGATGCTAATACCAACCCCAAAACAAATAGAAAGCAGAAAAAAAAAATTGGGTCAAAATATGATCCCGAATCAAGCCAATTTTCCTCCAATTCACCCAAATTTTTCACAAACACCCACAAATATTCCCCATAATTTTTCTGGAGTGTATCCTCAAATACCCCAGTCAAGTTGCCCATATAATCCACCAAATTTCCCTCAAAATTTTATTTTTTCTCAAAGCAGTTCAAATTTCCCACATCCATCCATGATACCAATGGGTTACGGTGAATATGGTGCTGCATCTGGATATTTTCCGTCACAAAAACCGAATCCCAATATTTGGGTATCGAGCAATGTCTTATCTGAAGAAGATGAGGCAAATGAAGAATGAGAGGATGATGGTGAGGGAAATGAAACTCCTTCCCCCCATCAAAACTTCACTCAAATGTTACAACAACCACTCCAATCAACTCCGGAATTTCGTGTTGGTTGTTCAAACAATAGAAGTTGGTCGCGATCAGAAACTACGGCTCTTATATCCGCCTACATGAACACCAGCACCAACATAATTATCGGCACAAATCAAAAGAAGGTCAATTTTGGAACAGAGTCTTGGACGCATACGATGCTGCCAGGGAATCGAATCCAGTTGAAATATCCCTACGAACTATTAGTAGTTTGAAGGGAAGGTGGATGCGAATCTCTGAAGCCGTGTTAAAGTGGTGTGGAAGCTATGATAAGGCCCGAAAGCGAAAGGGAAGTGGCTATAACGAAGATGATGTTATCCAAGAGGCCCACAAAATCCATGAGAACTCATTCGGACGATTCACCTTCTACGAGGAATGGATCCAAATTAGGAAGTTTGACAAATTCCGGTCTTTGTTGGACCAACAAACATTCAAGCCTTCGGTGGGACGTCCACATTCAACTCCACTGACGGATGAGTCTGTAGGGAGCGGAAGTAGTGGGAAGAGGACACGGGATGAGGGTGACAATTCCTCACCTACCACACCGACCAGCGTGGGTGCCGGTGATGAGAGAGTAGCTCGTGCTGAAGGAATTAAAAAGGCTAAGTCGAGGTTGAAGGGTAAAGCTCCATCAAGTGAAGCATTTAAGGAATTAGAAACATTCAACACCCGATTGCAGCTATTTGGGGATTCGATGAATGTGTCAAACGAAGCAGAAATGAAGAGGCTTGAAATACAGGAGCGCAAGGAGGCAAGGAAACAACAGAAAATTGAGCTAGAACAACATAGGATCCACTGGGAGCAACTAGCTCGTCTAGAACAGAAAGTAAACCGAGAACAGTGGGAAGACGAAATGATAGTAATACTTCAGAACAAAATTAAAAGTTTCACTAATGATGCTTAGGCATTGTAATCTTCATTTTCAGTAGTGATAAGTTTTCAATTCCAGTTCAACCTCTTGTACGCATTTCCAATTATTTGTACTTTATCAATTAATCAGTAAAATGGATCTTTTCCACTATCCCATTTTCATAGCACATGTGATCTTTGTCTCTTTATTCAATTATATCAATTTGTCTCTTTATATATAATTGTGTCAGTATCTTAATTTCCCCTTTGTTAGCCCATGTGAAACCCTTCTTCTCCATTCAATTTCTGTGTGGTTCTAATCCAGTATTTGTCATAGCCCATGTGATCTTTGTCTCTTTATATTCAGTTATTTCTGAAGAAGAATTACAAATTAGTTCACTATAAATAAACATCATTCTTTCATTTATTTTACACACAAACACATAAATCGTTTGCAGTTATTATTAGAAAACCTCACTCTATCTTACATTTCTTACGTAGAAAATGAATTCAAACAGTTTCAACTTAAGCTCAACCGATTCCTCTTCATCTTCATCTAACTCGGATGATGAGGGAAGGGAGCTTAGAGTTCAACAACGTAATGAAGTGTGTCTTATGATACAACATGTAATGCATGAGTACATTCCACCAATTATTCAAGCTGCCACTCAGCAACGCCGACGCAAATCTACTGAGCCCCGAAAGGATAGGGGACGCGAAGAAGGTCATGCACGGTTATACAATGACTATTTCGCGGAAGTCCCAGTTTATCCAAGTTCCTTGTTCCGACGCCGGTTTCGAATGCGTAAACATGTGTTTGAGCGCCTTCTCAACGCAGTGACCCAACATGACCCTTGGTTTCAACAAAGGCGAGATGCGGCAGGTCGTCTTGGGTTGTCTCCACTTCAAAAGTGCACTGCGGCCGTTAGACAACTAGCTTACGGGTGTGCTTCAGACGCTTGTGATGAGTATGTCCGTATAAGTGAGGCTACTTCACGATTGGCACTCCAAAAGTTTACAGAAGGTGTCATCAACCAGTTCGGTGATTAGTACCTACGCCGTCCAAACATCGCAGATATGGAAATATTGCTACGTATTGGGGAAGAACGTGGATTTCCTGGCATGATAGGCAGCATTGATTGTATGCACTGGGAGTGGAAGAACTGTCCACACGCATGGAAGGGGCAGTATCAAGGAAGAGTAGGAGTTGCAATTCTCGTACTGGAGGCAGTTGCGGACAGAGATCTATGGATATGGCATTCGTTCTTTGGGATGCCAGGTAGCTGCAACGATATTAATGTGCTTCATCGATCCCCTGTGTTCGAAGACGTCTTAGAGGGTCGAACACCTGCTGTGAACTTCGTAGTCAATGGTCATCATTATACGAATGGGTATTATCTTACTGATGGAATCTACCCTAGATGGGCTACTTTTGTGAAATCCATTACGAGTCCACAAGCTCGTAAGGATCGTTTATTCTCAAAACACCAGGAAGTTGCAAGGAAAGACGTTGAACGCGCATTTGGGGTCCTTCAAGCTCGTTTTGCCATTATTAAAAAGCCGTCTTTGGCGTGGGATACCGACATACTCCACGATATCATGCTCGCCTGCATCATAATACATAATATGATCGTTGAAGATGAACGAGAGACGTATCAAAATAACGTTAATACCAATGAGTTTATGAATGCTGGAGGCAACGCTAATGAGGACACTACCGAGTATCGTACTGATCGTATTGTGGATATCGGCTTATACTTGACTCGTAGAACAGAGATTGAGGATCAACAGACTCATTTGCAGCTAAAAAACGACTTGGTCGCACATATATGGAATAAATTTGGTAACAACGAGAACTTACGCAATTAGGTTTACAACAAATGGTTATCCCTAAGGACATCTTACAAAACGATGTGTAGTAGTTCTTTTTTTTTTTAAAAAAAAATGTACTTGATTATAGTTGTAGTACTGTAATCACGATTTGTACCTCTTTTTTTTTAATTATGTTAATTAAAATTAGCTGCGTTGTTGTTTAAAAATATTGATCACAAGAATTAGTTTTTAAAAAAGCTAATAAAAAAACGCGATAATTTCTTAATTAGCAATCACGATTAAAAAATTAAATACGTCAATTAATTACATTGACATCGAGTTAATAAATTATAATTATGAATTAAATAGATTATATTTACAAAAATAAAATAAGGTGGGGTAGGGAGTATTGATGATGAACCATTGTTTAGTGTTCATTGTTAAGAGTGAATATTGTAAATAGTTTGTTGGGTTGATGTGGATGAGAGAGAAATGGTGATAGTGACCCATGAACCATTTTTTTGTGTTCACCAATAATGATGCTCTAAGGGTGTACAACTCGTTTAATTAAACAGATTAACATGATATGAAATGTTTAATAAATAAGGCCCCGTTTACTTCACCTTAATTTTGCTGAAATGAAATTATTTCTAGTGCATTGAAATTATTTTTACTGATTAAAACTGAATTTTACTGATTAAACTGAATTTTACTAAATTTATTTTTACTAAACAAAACTTACCTTTAGATAATTATTTAATAATCCCACCTTTATAGAGGATCTTCTTTTATTGGTCCCTTATGACCGATAACCTGTACATTGGGTAAACTCTTTTTTTTTTTTTAATCTGAGTGACACGTGTCACTAAATAATTGGTCAAAAAAATTAAAAAAACTAATTTTTTTTTTGTAAATTTTTTTTTTTAAAAAAAAAAACCCAGCCAGCCCCTACCTTAGCCTTCTGCCAGCAGCCGCCCTCCACTCCCCTTGCCCCGCCGACAACCAGGCCACACGCCCCCGCCAAAACCTCCCCCAACAGCGAGATCCATCCCGACACCCCAGCCCACCACCAAAATCGCCCCCAAAACCATCAAAAACCCCAACGAAATTACCCAAATTAACCCGATTTGAACCCAATAAAACACGGGCAGCGGGAATAGCAAGAGCTCTAGAAAAAACGAGGGGACGATTAGAGGGTTTGAAGAGGTTTTCGACTGTTTTTGGCGATTTCAGGCGGTTTTCGGCGTTTTTTAAGGTGGTGGTTATGGTGGTTTCGGGGGTGGGATTTGGTTTAGGTGGTGATTTCGGGGGTGACTTTAGATCGGCGGGGTGGTTTTTGGTATTAGGAAGTTCGTGGCTGACTGTTTTCGGGGTTTTAGGGTGGCTGCCGGCGGGTTTTGGTAGGGTTAGGGTTAGAGCTGTCAAAAGCTGACCCGACATGAAATACCAACCCAAACCCGATTATTAACCGACCCGTCTAAACCCGTAAAAATGATGACCCGAACCCGATATGACCCGACTTGAAACCAACCCTAGACCCGAGTTAACCCGAGTATTTGAGACCCGAACATGAACTGACCTGAAACCAACCCTAGACCCGAGTTAACCCGAGTATTTGAGACCCGAACATGAACTGACCTGAAAACCAACCCTAGACCGAGTTAACTCGAGTATTTGAGACCCGAACCCGAAGATGAACTGACCTGGAGATGACCCGACCCGAATATAACCCGTAAAATATTGACTTGAACCGAACCCGACCTGAACCGAAATTGACCCAAACCCGTTTAACCCGTCAAAACCCGAATTTAACCCGACCTGAATTCAACCCGACCTATTCCTAACCCAACCCGAATTTAACCCGACCTATTACTAACCCGACCCGAAATTCAACTCGATCTGTCATTAACCCGACCCGAAATCAACCCGACTTGTTATTGACCCGAAATTAACTAGCAATCTAGGATTATGTCATATCTTTTTTTTTTTTTTTTTTTTTGTTTCCCTAATTCTATGAGTTATCTTCCTATTTAAGCTTATTCAAATATTTTCAATAAAATTCTCTATTATCAAATATATTACAATTTATATGTCTCAAAAAAACCTATAAAAATTTATGAATGCCACTACTTTTGGGATGCATATGTATTCTTTACTTAAATTTAGTAATTACGATTTACGAATACTACTACTTTTTAGGTGCAAGTTCATTCTATATTTCAATTAAGCAATTATGGTTTACGAATACTACTACTTTGTAGGTGCATGTGCATTAATGTAGTCAATTACGGTTTACAAATACTATTTGACCTTAGGCTTGTTTGTTTAGTGAATTGCTAAACATCGCCCGCAAATCTCCACATAAAGCCCACAAATTTGTATTGAAGTGGCTTTATTGCCCTTTTCGTTTTTTAAAAAAAACGCTCTCTACATCTCTCTAAAAAAATCAGAAAATCTACCTCTCTAAAAAAATTATTTACGACAATGTCGAGGCGGCAAGGGAAAGAGGTGGTGGCAACGGCGGCGGAGGAAAGGCGGCGACCTGGTGGCAAGGTAATTATTTAAATAATTTTTTTAAAAAAAAAATAAGGGGCGAAGGTGGGGCGCCAGCTCCGGCAGCCAAAGCCGGTGGCGTGGCGTCTGGCTTGGAAGCCCAGCCACCGGAGAGGCGTCCAAACCAGATGCCAGGCCATAGGCTTTGGCTGCCACAGCTGGCGCCTCTGCCTATGGGTGGGCGTCCAGTTCAGGCGCCTGCCCACTGGCTATGGCTGCCGGATCTGGCGCCACCGCCAGTGGGTGGGCGTCCTAGCCAGGCGCCCCACCTGCCGTATATTTTTTTTTTAATTTTTTTTTTGTTTTTTGTAAATTTTGTTTTTGGAAAATCAGAAATTTTGTGTTAATTTTAAATAATTTTGTTTTATGTCTAATTTTTTTTTAATGTGTTTGATTTTTTTAAAAATATTTATTAATTTTATGTGTTATTTTTTATAAATCCAATATATATATTTTTTATAAAATCAGATTTATTTTTTGTGTTAATGTTTAATTTTTTTATGTTTGATGTGTAAATTTTTTTATGTGTTAATTTATGTAGTATGTGGAAATTCTTTGTGTTAATGTGTGATTGTTTTTTTTTTTTATAAAATGTGTAATACATTAGGGTATTATGTGTGTATTTGTGTATGTGTAATATATTTTTTTTTGTTTAATTTTTTGAAATAATTTTTTTTTTTTGAAAATCAGAAATTTTGTATCCCCTTTAAATATTTTTGTTTTGTGTCTTATTTATTTATTATGTGTTTGATTTTTTATAATCTTTATTAATTTTATGTTTATAAACATGACGATATGTTGTAAGTGTTGGTATTTTGTATGTGTAGGTAGTTATCTATTTTTCTAAAAAACTTTTGTATGTTTATATATTTTTAAATTTTTTGTAGAATTCACTAGGCCGTCATGGTGCGGGAAAGAATCTAGACCTTCTTAGTAGAAGCTATTCAGTGGAGAGGTTGGGGCATAGACATGTTAGATCCCGTGGTATTTTGGCCTCGGCTCGTAGAGAACGGATCCACCGTCGGGATGAGGATGACGATGACGATGATAATGTTGAGGAAGGTGACCAGGAGGAGTAGGAGGAAGAGCAGGAGGAGGATGCATATGAGGATGAGGATGTGGACGATGGGAGTGGACCGTATGATGATTACGGTCCATTCAGTCAGAGGGTTGATGACATGTACGAGACACATATGGTAGAGGTGGGTAAGGGTAGGGGTGGTAGGTTTGTTAGTAGATCTGGCACATCATCTGCGTCCACTGTGTCTGGGGCAAGCAGGAAACGGTCGAGGGCCGTTAATGATTCTTGGGTTGTTAAGAGTGAGGTGCCCGGTGGGCCTGTAGACGGGAGTGTGATTCCTAGCTTTCTAGGACACATAGCTACCCGTATTTGGGAGGACCAGGAGAGGCCTTCAGTTACGGGCTTGTTGAAATGTCATACCCGGGAAAAGACTTGTAGCTTATTGCGTACATGGGCTGAGGCTTGGCCGGTGGAGAGCGAGATGTTTGAGCGATTGGAGGGCACTGGGGTGAATCACGTTCCTGCCACCATGCACGATAAGATTGACACTACGCTGATCACGGCTTTCGTTGAGCGATGGCAGCCAGATACAAACTCTTTCCACCTTCCGTTCAGTGAGATGACGATCATGTTACATGACGTCGAGGCCATTCTGGGGATTCGTGTTGAGGGTAAACGACTTTGTGCTGTGACTGATGCGGATCAGACAAATTTGCTGGCGGAGTTGTTGGCGGTGGACAGGGCTGCACTGTACACCGAGACGCTTGGTCTTTGGGAATACGACGGTGTGAAGATTGCATCCGTGTTGCAGCGGTGTTTGTACCCCAGTGCACGTAGGACGCACGACGCACAACTGACTGCTTATGTTTTTTTACTCCTCGGATGTACCTTTTTTCCGGATAAGAGCGGCGAAAACAAGCTCAGCCCACGCGACATAGTTGAGGCGTGTGACCCCGACAGTGTAGGCCAGTTTTCTTGGGGATCGGCTACGTTGGCGTATTTGTATCGCCAACTAGGATTTGCGAGTCGGGCTGACGCGACAGGTATCACTGGGTGTCTGACTTTATTGCAGACCTGGATATACGAGAACTTTCTTGCATTGCAACGACATCGTGACCCGGTTCCTATTGATGAGGGGACGCCGCGTGCTTGTGCGTGGAGTCAACGCTCGGAGAAGAAGTCCATTGACCGCCTCCGATTGATACGGTTATTGCTTGACAGGATGTCCCCCTTAGAGGTAAAGTTTATAAATTATTTCTACAATTTATTATATGCATTTATTATATTCATGTTACTAAATTTTAAAATTATGTGTAGGTGAACTGGATGCCTTTCGGCCCGAACCCTAGTATTAGGGTACCCAGGACCCTGTACACAGGACTCATTCAGTATCGTGAGATCGTGGATGTAACACCCCCAAATCTCCCTCTACAGAAAATGTAGAAGAATACGTATAAATACCGTAGAGATAGACTTGGGTGTA